GTAAAATTATAAACAGACTAAGCGTGTTGTATTTTACATATCCGCAAAATAAACAATGAAAGGCAAAGAGGTAATAAATTCAAGGGAATATGTGAAATGGGTTGGAGAGGAGAAATGGAAAGGGGAAATAATATGATTGCATTTTACTTTTAAAAAACCATAAAAATAAGGCACTGTATAACATGCTAGCTTGTCACTCAGCAAGCTGGGGAGGGGAAGGTGGCACAGGGAAAATGTCTGCAGCAGTGAAGACCTAAGTGGGACAGACGCATCCATGCTAATAGCTGGGGACCAATTTTCTGCACTGAGTAAATAGCTTGTAAGTGCCTGAGGGGGAATGAGCTTGTCTCTTGGAGAAATCACAAGAAAACGCCATGGCATTTGAGTGTCTGGAATGTCCTTTGAAGGTAATAATGATGAGGCCAGCGAGGGGTAGAGGGAGAATGGTGGAAGGCTTTGTGGTAAGGAACTGGGAATTTGCTCCTTCACGATGCCGAGTTCTAGGAGAATTTGAAGGAAGAAATCAACATTTTGTTTTTTTTTTTTAAATCACACACTCCAATAGTTGCCTATGGGGTGAGCACTGGTCAACACAAGTTCAATGTGAAATGGTGAGGATGAACAGCAGCCCTCTGGAAAAGGACTTGCTTTGGCCCTAAAGTCTGAGGTCTACTCAAAGAACTAGCATCAGGCAGAAACTTGCACTGAGTCTACAGCATCTGTAGGTGCCTAGGTTCTGTGGCCAGAAAGGGTTTTATCCCTACATATTGCAAAAGTGCAACAAGTAAATAATAAAAATGTATATATTAGTTGAAAAGTTAATGTAGATTAATTTTTTTTTTTTGCTTGGAAAACCATGTGTTTGTTCTTCAAATGAAATTGGTGGGGGCATTGCCACAACCTGACTTAAAAGCAAATTGTTGTTACTAACGGCTCTTGGCAACTGAGACTTCCTTTTCCCAAGTTCTACACGAATCATATCTTTATACTTCCTCCAGCATTAGAAAGAACTATTACTCCTTTGCTGATCACCTTCGTATACATAGGAAGTACTCCCACAATTAAGAGGGCCCCCTGGACCTCCTCTTAGTATTGTGGTCTAAAACAGCCAAAGATGGGCAAAAGCAAGGCAGAGTTTCTAAGGTTTTGCCCCAAATGAGCATCTTTGCAAACTTAATTTTTTTCATTCCTCGTTTGTTTATTCCAGTCCTGGGGATTGAACCTCAGGGCTCATGCTAGGCATGCATTCCACTAATGAGCTACATTGGACCCCAGCAATCCTGTGGACTTTGAGAAACAGGAAGAATAGACACGGCAAGCACACAGCTTCCTGCCACAAGAAGTCAGAGATGGGTGAGAAGAGAATACCAAAAAGATGCAAAACAGACAAAAACCAGCCATCAGGCGCTTGGGACACCGTCAGTCCACAAAGTGCTTGCCTTCAAGCACCAGGCTGTGAATCTGAATCTGCAGCACTTGCATAAAGAGAAACAAGCATGGTAGTGTTCATTGGTATTCCTGGCACTGGACAGGGGGCACACACATGAAGATGACCAGCCAAGTCTACCCTAGTTGGTGAGCTTCAGGCCAGCCAGAGAGCCATTCTTAAAGGTGGTAAATACTGATCCTGAGGAAGGTACTTGCAATAGTTGTCTGGACTCCACACATGTGCACACACACCTACACTCACAGACATGCAGCTGTGGTAACAACCAAATCTTCTCCAACCCTAGCATTCAGGAGGCTGAGGCAAGAGGATTGGTTGGTTGGTCAGCCACAGGTGTGAGGCCACCTGGCACTACACTACATAGTGAGTTCAAAGTGCTGGCTTGGAGTACAGAGTAAGACTTTGTCTTAAAAACCAACCAAATATAAAAACTCACAGTAACAAAACACAGTGGCAATAACAGCAACAGATCTCAGGAGGGGCCAGTGAGGTGGCTCGGAAGGGGAAGGTTTTTGACACCAAGTCTGAAGACCCAAGTTTGATCTCTGAAATCCACATGGTGGAAGGAGAAAACTGACTCTTACAAGTTGTCCTCTGACCTCCACAGGAATATAAGAAAGAAGGAAGGAAGGAAGGAAGGGAGGGAGGGAGGGAGGGAGGGAGGGAGAGAGGGAGGAAAAAAGTTTTTTAAAACCCTTAATAATAGAAAAATCGCAAAAAGCCAACATCCAGTTGTGTTCACTATTAGGTGCCCAAGATGTGTTCACTTTCATTCATCTGGTGCCATTGGGAACAGTCCCTCCAAAAGCTTTGGAATATAGGAGCTTCAAATAATAAAGGACCCTCAAATCCAAACATATTCCGTGATGATGAACATAAAATTGCTCGCTCTCTGCTTTCTGGCAAGTACTGTTACCCAATGTCTCATTAACAACAGAAGATCATGGAAAATGATGTCTAAAGAGCCATACCAAGGTCTGAGATATACAGAGACTAATGAATCATTTGCTCTCTTGCATAACTAGCTTGTGGGTAGTAAGACAGAAAAAGCTGAGTAATTGAAAGTTGAGAGTCTTATAAAGTGAATCTTATGATGGCTAACTTCCTACAGAGGGTATTTATAAAGATCTACTCTACCAGTGTTTAAGGATAAGAACAGATTAGCACAAACAATCATCTGGCTTTATCTAGCCTGGAAAACATATTTATTCTGCATCAGAACCCCTGACAGTGATGCCATGAGATGCAAAATATTTATCATTCTTTGATTAATAATCTTGTTGAATCAACTGAACTGACTTGCTGTATATGCAGTTGGCATTGGTTTTTGTAGTACATTAC